ATCTGCGTCATCAACATGTCGATCAATCCCGTAGATTCAAGCGTTGTTAATCCTACGCTATGGATGTTGGAAATGGAAAAAGCGTGTCTGCGGATGGCGCCATTATGGGCGAATACCTACTGCTCTGCGGCTGTGCCGTGGTAGACGGGCTGGGCATATGTTATTGATACAGGCAAGGTCAGCATGTAAATATCAAGTATGCATCCATCCACTAGACACGGTAGCCAATCTCAATAGGTGCCGGCATATTTGGAGGGTGAGGGCACCTGAATCTGATAGGCGGGCCTCTTGTCGATATTCCGGTTGGACGTGCCTATTATGGGGCGGTTATTACATAGAATCAGACAGATGAACGAAATACGGTCCTCAAACAGATGGTTTTGTTGAAGGCCGTCGGTCAGGCAGTTGTGCTTGGATGCTGCAGGTGGTTGAGAGCGATGGCCGGCAATAGGACGGACTGGAGCCTCGTGCGATTCAGACGATGCAGACTGGAACTAGAAACAAATTGGACTAGTCAAAGCTCCACCACGTACTACTAGCCAAGACGAGAACAACGATGGTATAAGTGTCATGGAAAACAAGTGGAAAGTTTAGATGTTGTGATACTTGGTGATGTTTCGAACGGTGAACGTCGTGGTTCGAGAGGGGGCGCAGTCGGCTGGGCTTTCTCGGCTTCGTCATGGAAGCCAGGTCTTGACAATTTTCATCAGCCTCCGTCTTCCAAAAAACCGGATGGATTCCTTACAAAGTCTAAAGCTTCTTCCAAGCTATGAGTTCAAGGGTCGTTCTTTCGGAAAACGTCAGTTTTGGCGACGAGTCCAGACAAACTCAAAGCGCCGGGGAAACGCACGGCAGTTCGATGCACACGTCGATCACGATCATCGTTGCAGGTTCTAGTAGTACCTACACACCACCTGTTGCAGATTCATCATACTTGTCATGTGCATTGATCGTTTTATCGTCTACGCGGCTCAAAGACGACAAAAAGGCGTCTATATACCTCTCCATTTCATCTGAGGTGTGCCACACATTCAATTTCATCCGACCTACATCGCCAAAGGCAACCACAGCATAGAGACATCCTCGTGCGTTATCGAGAGCAAACACAGGACATCCGTACGAATACACACTCAGAGAAAGGAGAAATATCACTTCCCTTCGTTGAGCCTAGGGGTACATAGCACTTCTTCATCACAAGGAAGAAACAAAAAAAAAGGGCACGGAATCACAGAGAACATGCAGTAGACAAATAGATTCACATCTAGAGCTCCCTGTAGGTATCTATCCGTCGGCTCAAAAGAGAGCCACATGCATTTTCTTCTCCATATCCTGCCACAGCTTGTGCTGGCTTCGTACGTGTACTCAGCGGCGCTTGGAATCGAACCAGACAGAACAACCACGAATTTAGTACCGGAGCGGACACAGAGGAGCTCCTTCATGTGGGCGCCGACACCGACGTGCCACAGATTGGCCCGCACCACCGGCTATAGGAGTCCAAGATGGACGCAGATGGTCCTGATATACCAAGTACACCGGCCTCGCAAGAAACCTAGAAGACACCGATGTGACCGTCATTGTCGAACTCGATGAGCTTGGTCTCCTGGATGGAGTGGATACGGAGCTGGCGTTAGCCTGCTGAAATACGCGGTCGCAGAACTAAAAGGGAGGGTAATAGTAGGAGATCAATGTCGGTAGGTGAGCTAGGGCGCTGGTGTCGAGAGTCGGCATAGAGGGGCAATGAAGTACTAGGAGTGATCTATGATCCTCATGAACTGACAGCACATTCACTGGGTACCTCTGGCCATGGTTGGAGGAGATGTGGTTATTTGTGAGTGGGTGAAGAGCTGAGAGTGGGCTGAAGTAGAGAGCAACATGGTTGGAGGAGATTGGTTAATTCCATCGTTGACAGCAGAGATCAAGGGCGTCTCTGGGAAAAACTTTGTCTGCTGTTACAAGGCAGGCACCATCAGCGCTGAAGGCACGGTCTCAAGCCCAGCTTTGGTGCTTCTTGCTTGCTCTCGGGAAGGGAACGGATACCTACGAAGCTGACCCCAGACGACAAAGATCAAAGGGTGTCTCTGGAGGTCTGATGTGAAAGAGGTGAGCAGTGATGGTTGCCTGTAGAGAAAAGGAAGGAACAGAGTGGAAGGCAGAGTCCAGTCTCAACGTCCTTGGGGTTGCGCATGACGGGGCGCGAGGTGACCTCAGGTCAGGATCCATCTCGCACATAACAGAGGCGAGGTCGGCGATGACCTTCATACCGGAAACAAGGGCATCCCAACCCTCGAGATCGAAACGCTTGTCGCTCGAGGCTGTAATCGAGTACGGAAAATAAGTCAGACTGACCACGAACTGAGCGGCCTGCTGGATAGGCACCTAAAAACCAAGCTGTCGGCTGTGGCGTGCTGTCGTGTTCTTTGAGATGAATCTTGTTGATGATGCCTGCCATGGGGTGCAAGGACAGACTCTTCGAGGAGGTTATTGATGGTAGAGGTAGTAGTGAAGTTGAAGGTCGAGGACCGGCGGCTGCAACAAGCGGAAGCCACACGGGTGGAGGAAAAACCCAGCAATGATCGGGTAGGTCAACGAGATACATGTGTTGCCCTGATTAGTCCATCTCCGCTATTAAATCCTCGTCTCAAGCTTTCTGTGTCCGTGGGCTGTGCCCCCCGACCCTCGAAAAGGAAGCTAACCGAAGCCAACGTCTTGCCCTGGCGCTCGCAGAACGCCGTTTTGAGCCAGGCGCGGAGGCAAAGAGAGCTGACCAGCTTATGGGATACTGTCTAGGAGGAGCACGGCTGGGGCCCTACGGTTCCGTTTAGAATTGCTCGGGGCGGTTGAGCTGCTGCTTGTGGAGGAGGCAGCTTGTGCCTAGATTGTTTCTTGCTGAAGCCACCATGAACAAAGTCGTTGAAAGTCAGCTTGATGGCATTCCTAGGCAGGGCAACACTGACAGCCTGGAGTAGAGCATCCGAATGGAGAACTGTATGTGTGCGCTCTGTGCGATGCTTTTGCCTCCGCTGGGTTTCTATTCGTTTGTCGCACGGGGAATGCGTACTGGTGAAAGTGACGCCTCAAGCCAGCGGACTGATGGCGTCCAAATCGGGATGCTGCCTCGCCCACAGTCGTAGATGTAGATGTACTTCTTCATCGCCCTCCACCAACGCCCCTCCTCCAGAGGACATCACCTATTCTCCTCAGGAGTGTCGTCCTTCTCTTCGCTATCGAGCATGCCCGATGTGGCCGGTAGCCCCTGACCATGACCATGACCGCACCCAGCCAGTATTCCGGTGAAGGACTTCCGTCAGCTTCCGGAAAGGAGTGAGCGTCATTGACTGGAAGCAGAGGACACCACGCGGCGTCGTGGTTGCTACCTAGAGGTACCTCTAGAGGTACCTTTAGGATGAAGGGTGGAAGTGGACGATCATCCTGTGAGGATTGGGCTTGCAAGGGTTTTGGGTTGTAACGTGCGGGAAGAGACTAGATGCTGAGTACGGAATCTGAGCAGGCTACGAGCCTTATTGATGTCTACCTCTAAGTAACAAGTGGAAGTCAGCACATGTTCCATTTGTTGATACTGAGGTCAAGTTTTTTCGGACATTGCCGGCGCGTTATGAAAGTCGAAAAACATGAATCGTTTGCTCACCTTTGTCTCCTCTGGGCTTCAATGCAGGCCCGAGAAGGAATGGGGACGGAAATTTCCCATGCCGCCCATGATCTGGAGAGAAGTGTTCGACGGTCTCACGAGAGGACTCTGACTTGGAGTTGAAGGTGAGACGAGGTTGAACCAGTAAGGTACTAACATGAACCTCTTGTCAAAAAAATAAGCAGAGCGGTGGAGAGAAGACACAGGTACTAGAGTCACCGAGACGATTAGCGGCGGTGCCAACCACCAAAATGACTGCTATTATAGCTGCTCCGACCACCACCAGACAAGTGTAGGTAGAGGTACTTACTCGGTAGATCCGACAAAACCACACTGGCGACAGTGGCGAGACCCATAGGGACAGAAACAAGACTCGACAACATCCCTCGCCTTGGGAACCTGACGACAGCGTGGCCTTCCACTTGGAAAAGGGAAACGAACTCGACAACGTGCCACCCGACACTCTGAACCTCGACCTCGACCTCGAACCCCCGACCACTTCCCATCTGGTCGAAAGGGGACTGGAGACGCCGTTGACAATACCAGCCTCGGATTGACCTTGGGGAAGTGACGGCGAGGTGACGGAAAAGAACGGAATGGATGAGACATGGATTCGGAGTACCAGACAATACCAGACAGTGCAGTGCAGTGGTGGGGACTGGAAGAAATAGATGGGAGGAGAGGGAGAGGAAGGTGCGGACGAGACATGAATTAGGTACAGATGTAGGTACCTCTCTTGATTGGTATCAATCTGACGGGAATTTCCTGGGAGCTGTGTTGGGTCCAGCCTGTGTTCGTTGCGATCTCTCAATCACCTTTCTACCCCTCAATCCTCGTGCCGCTTTTCAGTTCTGAACGATAAAGGCACACGCGCGTACAAACGGGTTTCTGTTGGATAACGAACAAACAACAAAGCCAGTGCACAGAAACTGGTCACCCCGTGCTTCCCACCTCACATTGACTTCTTCACATCAGATCAAAGTCCACCTCCCAACTTTGGGACAAAGTAGTGGAAACTACCTAGGTAAGCGACGGCATTCAAGAATATAATGGAAGCGAAACTTGTATCAATGCTTAAAAATGCTTAGAAAAGAGGTATTATTACCAAAATGTCTATCCAGAAAAGTGTCTATCTATGTGATGATGATGATGCAAATAAATGCCCTAAAAAGCAAATGCTCCTTTTCCATCCTACCCCTCCAAATCTACCTGACCTGTAAGCATGGCAATCATACCGACCAGACATGCCATTTCTATAAACGTCATCCTCCCTCCCAAATTCGTACATCCGTACATCATTAACTACCGTGGGTATCTTCCTTCTCCTTGCCAACCACACACCGTGCAACGAGCCTTACTCAGCCTTCTTACTCGTCTTCGTCCTCAACTTCATCAACGCATAAACCATCGCATAACTGCTCGCCACAAACACACACACAATCCCCGCATCTCTCCACCCATACCCATAACTCTTCAAGTTGATCGTCTGCAAGTAATCGCTACCCGACGTATACTGACAAACCCTGCACCCCTCGGTCGCGCTCGGGTTAATCAAGTTCGTCGCCCGTCCCATGCCCATCATGTACCCCTCCAAGTACTCGGCGCACGTCGTGCCATTGGGCGGGTTGAACACGGCAAACTCCTGGTCACGGCACTCAATCTTCTTGTCCCAGAGGTTAAACACCAGCATGGAACCCATGAGGTAGTTGAACGGGTTGAGGTAGTAAATCCAGTAGCGCCAGAAGACTTGAATCTGCTGGTATGGCACGAGGACACCGCAGAAGGAGACGAGGATACCGATGACCAGGGGGTTAGCGAGCGTGGCGAAGATGGCGTTGGGCGCGTAGGCGGCAATGAACTGGCCGATGCCCGTGTAGACGAACTCGTACATGAGCATGACGAAGAAGGTGCCGCCGGCGCGGGACGAGGCGTGCGGGGCGCCCGTGGTGTAGTACCAGCAGGCAAAGTAGAGGACGGCGCAGACGCACAGGTAGGGGATCTCGGACACGACGAGGCCCGTGACGAAGGCGATCCAGCTGTACATTTTGGATTTCTTCTCGCGGGCTTCGAAAATGTTGCGGCGCTCAATGAAGAGAGGCTGCAGCTGGGCGATGACACCGGGAGCGACAAAGATGAAGTTGAAGATGGTGAACAGGCGCATCTGGAGGTCCGAGACGCTGTCGCCGATCATCCAGAAGGAAAAGCCGTTGAAGAGGGCCGAGCCAATGTGCAAAGCGAGCTTGTTGTTGATGTAGTCGGTGTTGCGGAAGAGCGAGATGTTGTTGCGGGTAGAGACGATCTTGAGCTGTTCCAACAGCGGCATGGCGAATTCGTGTCCGTCGTCGAGCGTGCCGGGCGGCTTGGAGGCGGCGTCGTCGATGATGCGGTCGAGTTCCTCCGTCATGGCCTGGTGCTCGGGCGACTCGAGCCAGACTTGGTTCCAGTCCTTGCCCTTGGAGAGGGAGCCGGAGACGACGTCGATCATGTGCTCGGCCGGGTTGGTCTCCTCGGGGCAGGCGGCGCCGTACTTGGCAAAGTAGTCCTTGACAGTCTGGGCGTTGTCACCAATCTCGCCAAAGTAAACGGTCTTGCCGCCCTTGGCCAGAAGCAAGAGAGTGTCGAACTGGGCAAAGAGCTGCTGGGAAGGCTGGTGGATGGTGACGAGAACGGCCTGGCCAACATCGGCGAGCTTGCGGAGGAAACGGACCGTGTTGTAGGCAGACTGACCATCGAGACCAGAGGTGGGCTCGTCCAAGAAGATGAGAATGCTGGGCTTGGCAACCAACTCAACACCAATGGTGACGCGCTTGCGCTGTTCGACAGAGAGACCAGCACCAACGCGACCAATGAGGGTATCGGCGAGATCGTGAAGCTCCAAGAGATCAATGATGGTGTCGACGTACTTGAGCTTCTCCTCACGGGGAATCTCACGAGGCTGACGAAGAAGGGCAGAGAACTCGAGGGCCTCACGGACAGTGGAGAAGGGCTCGTGAACATCAAGCTGCTCGCAGTAACCGGCGGAACGTTGGAAGGAGACAGGAAGAGGACGGCCGTCGACGAGAATGGAACCCTTGATGGTACCGTCAGTCTTACGCTGGGCCAAAACATCGAGAAGAGTGGTCTTTCCGGCACCCGAAGAGCCCATCAAGGCTCCCAGCATGCCAGGCTTAACCCAACCATGGACATTGTCCAAGAGAACGCGGTCACCAGAAGGAGTCTTGACGGTGTAGGTGAGGTTCTTCCAGGTAAAGACCGACGTGTTGCGAACCAACTCCTTGTCAGAGTCCTTGGCCTCGCCAGCGCTGGCCTCCTTGTCGTAGACAGTCTCCTCGCCGCTGCTGGTAGCACCGGCCTTCTCCTCATCGTTGTTCTGGATGGCCTTGACGATCTTGGCCTTCTCACGAGGGATGAGCAGGGAAGGACCGCCTTCGGAAAGAGGACGCCACTTGCTAGTCGCAAAGATGGTGATGCCGACAAAGAGGACCCACCAAGCCCAGATGATACCAAAGTTCCTCCAGACGTGAGAGTGGCTGTAAGAAAGAGATTTGAGATAATTGTCACCATAGACAATGTTTTCACCCTGGATGGCACCACCGACACCAGCGCAAGACTGATGGTCGAGATCAGCGTAGCCAGGGCCGTTGGGGACCAGATTGACGCCGACGCAGGGAATGATCCTGTCGTGGAACTCGTTGGACAAGAGAGCATCGAATGAGTAGGCCATGGGGTTGATCCAGTAGATCCAGCCGAACCAAGGGTGCATCTTGGGCTTCTGAATCATGTAACCATTGTACATGATGAGAGCGGAAATCATGAAACCGGAAACCTTGGAGGCGGCATCGAAGGTCCTGAATGCAGCACCGATGGCTCGGAAGAAGGCCGTCATGCACATGGTAGCAGCGATGAGAATGACCCAGTAGGTAAACCAAGCACCGGCGTCCATGGACAGGGCAACCATGAAGTACAAGACAATAGACCAGACAGTAACCTGCAGGATGATGACGGGGATATCGGCAGCAACCTGGGCAATGCAGAAGGCGGCAGGGTGGAAGAAACCCATACCCTTTTGCTTGAGCAGAACGGGACGACCAGAGAAAGAATCCGTGACTTCGGACATGGACATCAGACTGTTGTGGAGAAGGGAGAAGAAGAGGGCACCCGACTTGACGAAGAGACCAGCAGAGTTATCAGGGGCGTTGTAGAAGAGGGAACCGGCGATGAGGGCCTGGGCCAAGGTAGAGCCCTGCTTGATGAGGAAGGTTGGCTTGTCGCCGAGGACAATCTGATACTGGCGAGCGATACAGGCCTTGACCTGCTGGAAGAAGCTGACGGTGTAAGGGCTGTCCTTTGCGAGATGCTTGTCCTTCTCAACAGCGACACCTTCCTCAAACAACTTGGTCTTCTCCCTGGCCTCCTCGGTGGTGGGATAGTTGTACTCGGCGGTCATGCGAGGGTAGATGTCGGATTTTTGGTAGGCTTCCCTGAGTTGGTCGGCGTTGCGAGGGAAGGTCTTTTCAAAACCAGAGCGAACCACTCTCTCGGTGGGAACAGTGATACCGGTAAGGTAGTCGGCAACGTTGGCACCCTCCTGGCACTCGAAGCCGAGGGCCTCCATAAAGGGGCGGGCCTCCTTCATGGGACCGTAGTAGACCTCCTTGCCGTAATCGAGAACGAGGACCTTGTCGAAGAGATCGTAGATACCGTTACTAGCCTGGTAGAGGGTGACGATGGTGGAGAGACCCATGACATCGGTCATGGCGCGGATGCACTTGGCCCACTCGAGAGCACTAGGGATATGTTAGTCTGATTCTAGAGTGTTTGATGAGGATGATGGGGGTAACCTACGTGCTAGCATCCAAACCACGGGTAGAGTTATCCCAGCAAAAGACGGAACCACGAGATGCCATGCACTCAATGATGGAAACACGCTTGCGTTCACCACCAGAGACACCGCGGACGTACTCGTTACCGACCTTGGTGTCCTTGGTATGAGGGATGCTCATGGCCTCCAAAAGGAAGTCCATGTTCTCCTTGCGGTACTCTTCCGGGGAGGCAACGCCATCGGGGATCTTGTAAGGAATGTTGAGGCGGGTCGCAAAGTCCATGGTCTGGCCGACAGTAAGGGTGGGGAAGAAGACTTCCTCCTCGTTGTTCATGACGATCTGGCCGCGGTACTTGTGAGCCTCCTTGGCGTTCATGGAACCAAAGTGGACATCACCGTTAACGGCAACATAGCCTTCGCGCTTGTTGGCCAAGAGGTTGAGAAGGGTGGTGCATCCGGAACCGGGACGGCCCAAGACCAACAACATCTCACCGGGCTTGACACATCCATGGCTGTTGTCGAGGATGGTCTTGAGGGGGGGCTTCTGCCTTCCTTCTTGGATCTTCTTGGGAATGTTGAACTGAGATATGACGTTTTCCTGGATGGCGGCGTCCGAGTTGATGACCTGGACGGTAAGATCTTTCCACGTAACACCCAGCTCGCGGGCAGGGATCCCCGAGCTTTGCTCAAGCTCCTTGATGGCCTCAACCTTGTGTTTGAGACCCCATGTGCGGTTATCAACAGCGTTTTCCTCTTGTGCAGAGGCAGCACTGCTGCTGCTGCTGTCGCCTTGAACGCCCATGGCGGATGGGTTGGTGACCGGTAGTCGGTGGTCGGCCGCTTTGAAAAACAGTGGTGGTGAAACTTGTTGATATCAAAAGGCAAGGTGGTGATGATGAAATTTCGATGGAGGGGGTGGGTATTAGGGGTTGAATATATGTATGTATTAAGGGTAATATTTATTTGAACTGAAGAAGAGAAGATCAAGAAGATGATGGGATTAGGAAAATGAAGGGGAAAGGACGTATTTCTACACCTCTCTTGGATACCTCACAGTATGATAAGAAGTCGGAGCTCGGCTTTTGTGTGGTGGACACTCACCAACGGCGAACAGCCGTTTGTGGGTTGTTTGATTCCATGTCGCCGCGGCGCCTGCTTACGAGATTCTCGGGAAGTGGAAGCGGCGGGAGGATGGGGGACAGCTGAACGGAGTGCTGTGATGGGAGCTAGCAGCACGGTGTGCCTGGATCTTTTGCCTTTTGCGTCTATCCTAGGCTTGAGAACGTGTACGGGGTGGATCTGGGATCCATGACGGAGATTGATAACAAAGGGCGGCCGGCCTGACATGGAAGCTTCGATGAGAGCTCGAAAGGCAGACCAATGATGGTGGGGGCGGCTTTTCATCATTTCGCCGCTTACCTAAGGCATCTTGCCGGTGAAGAAAACACGAAATATCCACTTTTGGAGGTTCAAGGGTTTAAGGTTTCTCCTCGATCGGGCTGACGAGCTCCGACTTGTGGGACGCGGCAACGGGGAGATGGAACACTGCACGCCGCTGCTGTTTTGAAATCCAATCCATCTTTCAGCGGTCGTTTCTACATGAGGAAAGAAAGCATGGGAGATCTCTGTGCCTACGTGGACATTGGTAGGATCGATATCAGAGGGGACCTTCAACGCAAGGCAGACCGTAGGGGGCTAGGCGATAACAACACATACTCCATCGACGACGACGACGCAGAGATTTGTGAGATGAAAGTGCCAAGATCGATCTCTGGATCCAAAGCCGTGGTGGCGTCGCGACCAAGTGGAGCAGAGGACGGTTCGGCGGGATCGAGGGGAATCGGAGGGCCCTATTTCCAGATATTTGGTTGGCTGGAAAGACGATGTCCAGACAGACCCCGGCTTCGTCACAGTAAATCCCCGCTTAAGTAAGCGGCAAAATTGTCCTTCTTGCTTCTCAGTCTCGACCCGGACTCCGTAGAAGCTTTTGATAGAATGTGCGAACTGGTGGAGATACGGAGGGGCGCAATGTCTAACGCCGGCTACACACGAGGTTGCGGTGTCTGTCTGTCTGTAACTGGAGGTCAGCAAGTGAGCCCTAAGCAGGCCGGCAGATCCGGAGAGCGGTCTACAGTGTAAACGGTGAATGAGTGATTGGGGAGCGGCAATTGCCGTGAAGTAGTGATTGTGATGACTGAGCATTTACACTACTGACCTCTTTTCATGATTGTGGAATGTGAATGAAAACCGAGAAGCTGAACTTTCACCTTATTTTGGGCATATCGAGGTGATGGTCCGTGCATCGGGGAAATGGCAGACCCCGCTCCGACTTTTCCATACGGCGTCCCCCCCCCGGGCCACTGAATCGGATCCCGCCCACCCGCCGCGTCCATCGGTCGTCCTTCCATCATCAGCCCGCTGAACTCTGAAGAGTGAGTGAGAGTGAGTGAGTGAGCCATCAGTGTTAGTGGTACATAGAGGTAGGTGGTGGGGTACTTAACAACCAGCACACTGCAATGTTAACCACCGATATACATACGCCTTGAGTAACTGACACCTCAATGAAGGCGATAAATAAGCTACGCATGTTGTCCATTGGTGATTTTGCTATCTGGACGTCTTTTCTTTTTGTCTAGTCGAGTGGAAAGTAGGTATGCTTGGTGTCGTGGACAAATCTACAGGCACGTATAGGTATGCCGACATGTTGGTGAAACTCGGGTAGTGCACTAACAATTATTCCAGGGGCTCACTGCGTGACACGTCCGTCGGTCTGAATCGGATCCGACCCGAGTTTCCATGTAAAATGTCGGAACTCAAGTCCGGATCGAATGGCTGACTGACAGACAGCCGAATGATAACACTACAGAAGGGGAAAAGGAAGGAATAGAACAGAATTGATGATGATGATGATACATGGCTGACGAGTGATGACGGGAGCATGGTCTTCCTTTGTTCTTTTTTTTCCAAAAAGAGTTAACAGTCCCGGGAGAGGCGAGGCGCGTGCGAGCACAGTGCGGTATACACTACACTCGAGACTGACGTTAACATTTCCCCTCCCCCCGGACGCCGCCATGTGTTAGTAGCAGATGACGTGACGGCCGCTGTCTTACATGACATAACCAGGCAATTCACATCAATCCCGTCTGTTTTCGGTGTCATGAAAATTTCGGAGCTTCCACTATGTTTGTAAGTCTGCAGGTCTCGACCAAAACAGCATTTGATGCTCCTTCGATCTGTTTCAAACTGGCTCGACCAGTCAGTCAGTCGACATCATGGACCCTGAAACTCCTCTCTTGTCTTTTTTTTCAGGGTCTGTCCCATAACATCCAGTCCCTCTGGCCCGACCGAGTGGTCGTGAGGAAGTTGACGGACTGAGACCGCATCCGGATGTACTCGACACATTCCAGGTTTATTACCGACACTAACAGCACTGCAGCTTAAATCCGCTGACAAACCGTTAGTACAACACAACATCCACGCCAGCGTCTGACAAACCTCAACGGCGAGTACCTACCTGCCTTACCTGGTATCGTGCAACCAACCTGTCAAGCCGTCGCCAAGGTGCCACAGGCCGAGACCCAAGTACCACTGATCCTCTCCATCTTCCCGACGCCATCAGGCTTGACGCGCAATGACCTCCCCTCAAACAAGGCAGAAGCGGAAGAGAGCATGCGACTCGTGTCACCGGCGAAAGGTGTGTATTGGATAACCTCTACTGTACACTACTACATATTGCTTCCATCTTACATATACATATACTTACTTTGTACACTACCTACGCTAGATCCAATGTGATAGCGCCGATGTGCCCTCGTCCAACTGCAATTGGTGCCATCACCATGGCATGACATGCACCTTCAATCGCCGCTTGGTCGGACGAAAAACGTGGGCTCGGAATAGCACCAACTCAACCACAACCTCAACCCCCTCTGCCAGTGCCGGCCCTTCCTCCCCCTCCTCGGCTATCGTCGACGTCAGTCCGGGTATCGGCCCCTCTTTCTCCGAGCCCCGTCCCCCTAACGCAACCCAACCTCAGCCGCATCCGTCACCACTCCCACCTCACCCACAATCACTGCCACCCCTGGCCGCCCATCTTGGCATCTCGTCTAGGCCAGTATCGAACCCAGATCTCAGCAACTCCTACCATCGTCACTCATCTTCTTTCGGTGGATCGATCGACGACAAGATCCATGCCCAGCACCTGGACCCTTACCATCCACACTCGCATTCATCCTCTGCTGCCTCAACTCCTCCTTCAACATCTGGCTTTACTCGTCCAACCTCCCGTTCTGGTCATCACACCTTTCCATTTTCGGTTCATCCAAGTTCCCTGTCCCGCACCCATTCCCCTCACGGCAGTGTCTCCTCGGACCACACATACCATACCCCTGCCCAGTATCAACATCAACATCAACACCAACACCAATCACAACAACACCATCATCAACAACAGCATCACCACCACCACCAAGAACCAGAACAAGTCCACCCCGTCTACACCCACTTCCCCGTCCCCAACCCCGGCTGCGGATCCTACTTTGGCAAGCTCCACTTCGCCGGCTACCACTTGGGAGAAATATCCTCCTATAACGGCATCCCCTTCTTCTCCGAAGACGGCCAAGCATGGATCCGTTCTCGTACCGGTCAACAGGCCTCCTTCCCGGCCATATGGGGTGACATTCCCCCTTGGCAGACGCGGCCCAGCGCCGATTCGGGTCTTCTCTGCAAGGTGGCAGAAAAGCCCATAGAGCAGATCGAACTCCCTGATCGCAAAATCGTCGAGCAATATCTCTCCTTCTTTATAAGTTCCGAATTCCGGCTGGCGTTTCCGCTGGTTGACCCGGTCCTGTTCAAACAGACGTTGGATTTGGCTTATGCACATGGGCGAGGGGACAGGAATGGGTTGGGTTTTGAGCACATCACCGCCAAGGCGTGCGTGTTTGCTTTCCTATCGGTCATTTCGCTGCTGGAGGTCGAGAGGACGCAGAGGTTCCCGGATATCCCCAACATTGATACGGATATGATGGCTGCCAACGCGCAGATGCTTTTGCCGCTAACCATCCAGGCGCTGGATATCACCAGTCTACAAGCGTCTTTTATGCTCTGTCTGTACCAGCTCTTCTTGGGACAGGTCCAGTCATCAGCTATGCTTTTGGCGCTCGCTTGTCGGATCATGTTCATGCTGGGCGGACATAAACTGTCTAATGCTTCCAGGCTACCAACTTCAGGGTCTGGTTCAAGGAGTGGGACGACCACACCGGCTTCGGCCCCCGTTGATCTCGCAGACCATAAACGCCGTCACCTCCGCAGGCTCTTCTGGCTCTGCTACAGCGTCGACACGGATATTTCTCTCCGAACAGGCCAACCCCCTTCGATCGACGACGACCACTGCGACCTCTCCTTACCGCCAGGCTACCTCGAAATCCAGTTCCTCGACCGTCGCGAGCTGGAAATCCTCAAGGAACGGCACTTTTCTTCCTTGAACTCCCACCCCAACTCTTATCCCAACATGCCCTCCCCTCCCCCCTATCCCTACAACCAAGGAGCAGGACCATTCGGTTCTAATAATCCCTTCAAAGCCCCCGGTGGTGCTCCTCCCACAGCCATGACATCAGCACCCCAAGGACAACATGCCCCTGGATTCGGACATCCCTCCCTTGAATTCCCCTACCGCCAAATAGACGAAACCTCCGTTCCCGCTTTACCAGGCGACCTCCGCCTAACGCTCATCAAATCCAAAACCTGCAAACTTCTGTACTCCGCCTCCGCCCTGCGCAAGTCCGACGCCGAGTTGCTGCGAGACATTCGCGAGCTAGACGACGAGCTGGAAAGGTGGCGGCTATCCGTGCCTGAATGGTATCGGCCTGCGTTGTCGCTATCTAGGACTTCACGTGAGGGTCCTCCTCCGCGCGGCGGGGATGAAACAGGTACATGGTCATCTCATGGATCTGGACGTGCCTCTGAGCTAGATGAACGGGGACAGGGACAGGGATACGGACAAAGTCAGAAGGGCCACGGAAAGAGTGCCGGTTACGACCCTACCACCATGTCGGCAGGCGAAAGCGTTCGCACCATCATTATCAACCTACAGTACCACCACCTGGTGGCCACCATTCATCAAGCGACTGGTCGCTGTAGAGCGTGGCAGAACCGGAGCTCGGTGCTAGAGGAAAGCAGCATGAGCGCCGCGAGGACGGGGGAGATGCTAATGGAAGGCGTCAGCTCGAGTTTGGCGCTCAGTGTAGAAGCCAGTCGATCGACACTCATCTACCTACGCTCCGTTACGCGCGCCTTGCTGGGTGAAGCGTTCTGGTATGTCTTTCTTTTTTTTATATCTCTAATTCCTGCGCACCCGTACCACAGCTCTTCTCCCAACCACCACCGTTTTATCTACCTACTCCCAACCGCCATTTTACCTCTATCTACCTCTGAGGTATATACCTTCTCCCAGCCGAAACTAACAATGCCAAAGGGTCATAATCCTCTACCCAATGTCAGCAGTCATGACCATCTTCTGCTCTATCCTACTTAACCCGCTCGATCCCCAGGCCGAAGACGACCTGAGACTACTGGAATCCGCTCCAGATTTGATCAAGGGGATACGTATCCGTCGACTGACGCATACGGAGCTGTTGCACTTGAAGACGGTGGATGAGTTCATGGGGGAGTTGATGAGGTTGGGTGGGTGTGCGATTCGACGGGCCAAGGAGGAGAAGAGGGAGAGGGAGATGAGGGATTTGGAGCGAAGGAGGATGGGAGGGTTGGGGGGGTATAGGGTGCCGGAGTTGTTGTGAGTGAGGGTAGTGGGGGGGTAAGACGGCGAGAGGGATGGCGATGGGGAGTGCTTGGGGGTGTTGGATGGAATACCTGTAAGGACTGTGAAATGGCTCCCTGAATCATGTGTGTCAGTGTAGATAAGTGATAGTGGATATATTGGGGGCGTATAAAAGGGCATTTCGGGATGGGGGGGTTCATGACCGCAGTGTTTTTGGTTTGCTTCGTTGGATCTGTACAGGTACAGGTAGAAGAGGTCATACTAGGTATTTGGACGGAGGTACTTGCATTTCACTGGTTGAGTTCTCCTTTATCACTTCGTCATACCTACCATGTCTTGTGCTAACAATGTCCGCGTCGTTCATTGTTCATAACTGGTATCATTGGATCAAGGTGGTGTTCTGTGCAACCTTCACGCTTCTTGAAAGAAAAGGAGGAACAAGTTCCTGAAAGGGGCAAAGAAGCTGAAGAAATGTTGACGGACATAACCAGCCGTCCCAACAAACGCTCAGTTGGTTAAAAATGCTCCTGTGACAACGCTCCGTGCGTAGTGTACTATTGGTGGGCAGACAGTCGGTCGGTGTGATGGTTTAGGTGCCATCCTCGGGTGAGGCGTCACTGTTTGCTTCAATCACCTCACCTAGGCCATCCCGGTCCGCGACTCCGATCACAAATCATTTTCGTTACAAGCCAACTCCTCCCTTTCTTCTTCTTCTTCGCTCGCTTAGGTTCCAGTGTTTATCACCTCTAGATATCTGCGGCTGGATGTGCTCATGACGTGGGTGGCTTGTCCCAGCCGTCTTCTTTCATGTCACGGGTGCTAGAGCAGCGGTAGTCCAGGCGCGGTTGTCAAAAACGGATATACAACACGAACAACGAAATACCTTATTCACCGGCTTCAGACACGGCTCGTTGGGTTTATGTTTCTCGACCCCCGATGTAGCACGCGCTCTGCTTGTGGACCAACATTAACTAGGTACCTCTTAGGTAGGTACCTACCTTACCAACGAGAAAGAGGAGGTGAAATGCACTAAACGAAGAAGGGCGTTTGAGGTCATCGACAGTTACGACTCTTATGACGAGATGGCTGAGCTTTTGTGATTCTTTCCATACCACTAAGCAGATCATCGATCATCGCCTACGAGACGGTCTCCTACCTACCTAGTAAGCAGTCGGCAATGGCATCACGGCGAGATAGACCGAGATGAACCAGGGGTCTCTTGAAGATTGTCGTGTCGGGTGGGAGAGACTGGAGTCGGACTTGGGTCTCCAGACTCGTTGGGGGAGCATGGAGATGTCTCTGGGCGGTTTAGGTCTTTGAGAAGACGTCGCCAACACTCAGCTGACAGTGTCTCTTCGATGTTGTTATCCCTTCTTTGGTAAGTTGTTCGTCCCTGTTGGTGCTTGCTATGTGTTGACGGTCCGTTGTAGGTCTTTGTTCACTTTGAGAGGAAGTGAAGCGCAGAATGTTTCCCATCGCCAACTGCCCTGGGCTTGGGCCGTCTTTGGTGAGACGTTTACAACATGAAAGGAAAGGAGAGCCTACTGGGTTTTCCTTGACTGACTCTGAGATGGAGCAGGAGATGGAGAATGGAGTTCTGGTACCTATGAGCCAGAACTGACATATAAAGCTGTTGATGGTCTTCCGATGGAGATGGTTTCTCTCAGCATCAGTTCAATCAACGCTGTCTAGCACCCAGTATACCTTCACCAAATCTTTCTCATTGCGAAACTGGCAGGAACCAAATCCCCAGCCCGTCAAATACCACTACATCAACATTCACCCTCCCTCTATCTCTCAACCTCGGCCCAAAACCGACGCACACCTGCACACAGCAGTGATCATCCCCACACGCTACCTCTATCAACAATCACCAGTCTCAAGACAAAAACAATGTGCCACTGGCTCGCACGATACCGCTGCTTGTGCCGCTGCCTAGTCGGCTCCGCAACTATTTGTCCCGATAGATTGAAATCCGCGCCCTTCCTCGCACTTCCCGAGGGCATCAAGGAGCACAAACTCAATGAGGGTTATGATCCAGCCAGCTGTCCAAACCTCAAGAAGACCGTTGATATCCACGAGGAGGGTACTTTGCTGGACAGCTGCTCGGCGTCGACCACCAGTATCTGCCCCATTTCAAAAATGGGTACGAGCAAAGGCTCAAGATCGGTTGATGAATCCAAGGTGGAGGCCATTATGAAGAGAGATGATCACGGTACGGAGGTCGCGTTGCATATCACGATGTACGACCGGGATGCTGCGCTTGCTAAGGAGAGTTAGGTATGTCCTGGCTTCCATTGAGTCGAGAATTAAGTAGGTAGGTACCTTACATGTAGGGTACCTGTGGATCAGGATCCAATTGGGGTCTAGGTAGATAGTACATGGTCGTGGCGGATTGTTCAAGGTCATGGATGCCCAGTTTCCCGGTAAATGGGAAGGTTGATTTTGGGTAACGAAATGAGATTCGGTCAAAGACAGGAGGATACAGAAGTAAGGAGTCTTTACCTAACCTGCAGGCCAGGCAATCGATTTTGGTACTTCTATCAACCCAATGCTAGAGGTAGTCGTAGGTAACAACCAGATATTCGAATATTGTTTTTTTTTCTTTGATCCCTTTGTAGTTCCGTAGTGTGAATCCAAGGCTTACATACAGCAAGTGTCAGTTGTGGGAAAACCAGGGAAGAAAATGGATCTACCTGCCCCTGGTAGCAAAAGAGCGCTGAAGGAGAAAAAACAAAGAAGAAGCAGAATACTAACGGCAAACAATAAACCTTTAAAAATACCTAAAATGACAAATCCAGGAGGCCAAATATACCTCTACCACCTCTAGGGGTAGTATCCATCTACCTACTTGCAAATAAAAAAACATCGCTCTCATCCCCAACACCACGTAACTCACAACCATACATCCACCCGGTCCATCAATCACGGAACTAATCAAGCACCCCCTTTGCTTCCATGCCCCTGTCCTTCCTATCTTCCCTCATGTCATCACCTGCCCCATTACCTCTACCCTTTCCCCCCTCATCCCCAACCCCATCCCCCTTCTCTTTTCCCTAGTATAATCACTAAGGTACTTCTACCACTGCGGCATATCCGGCGGTGCCCCCATCGACGACCCCTTCCAGACATTCGCACCCCTATCCTTAGCCTTACAATCACCACACATATCCACCTCTTTCGTAGTCGTCTCCGTCGTCTGCCCGTCTTTACATCCACCAAACGCCAGTGGTTTGGCCGTGTGCTCCGCTTTGAGCACTTCGTAGCAGGTGTTTCGGTCGATGTCGGATTGGACGAGGTTCTTGCAGTGGGAGCAGTAGGTTTCGTTGAAGGTTATTGTGCACATTTTGCTGGGGGGTGGGACTATATTGGGAATGGGAATGGGAAGGGGGGCTGTAATTGGAAGTGTGAATGAAAGTGGTAATAAGCTGGTTACTCCGGTGGCTTGGTGATGCCTTGATTGTTCGTTGTATTGTTCGGGCATGTTACTTCTATTAAGTATAGGTTGCGAGTTTCTTGCCGCTGCTGCTTTTCTGCTTCATGGTTGTGAATGGCGAGGGTTGGTGAATCATTGAGTGTCAGGAATTGAAACAACACGCCCCGGTAAGGTCGGGTCTGCGTCCTGCAAACGGACTATACCTTCATAATCCAAAGATGGACAGAGGTGACTGCCAAGGAATTTGAAAGTTCTCAATCACCTGCCTTCCTTAACTAGGTACCTTACCTCTATGTGTCTTGTAGAATATACCTCTACAATCAAGTCCTCGCAACCAAAACCCATCCCCTTCATTCCAACTTCCACCCCCAACGTCACCGCACAACCAGCCTACATCCATCCAGTCATTACCAATCATAAGAACCAGAACCAATTTAAGCATCATCCCTTTTCCTCCCTCCTCCCTCCTCACCTGCTCACCTCCTCCTCACCAGCCCTGCTCCTCACCTCACCTCCCATCTCAATTATAGCGCACCCATCGCCGCCGCCTTCCACGCATCAACCTCATCATTTATCTTTTTCTTACATCCATCACACATCCCTTCCTCCTTCGTCTTCGTCACCGATGTCTGGCCTTCTTTACACCCCCCGAAATCTAGGGGATTCATGGTGAACTCGGAGTTCCAGACTTCGTAGCATTTACTGCGGTCGACCTCGGATTTGATCAGGGTCTTGCAGAGGGAGCATTTAATTTCGTTGTAGGTTACTGTGCACATTTTGTGGGGGGTAGGGGGTGGGCTGATGGGGCTTGGTGGTCTGGTGGTGTGGTGGTGGTGAATGGGGGGTGGTGTGGTGTGAACAGGTAGAAGTAGGTAGAAGGAGGTAATAACTGGGAGCTTTTCCGGTGGTTTGCGGTGATCGAGGCAATAAGAAGATACCACCTGACCAAGGGCGTTTATTGTGCCTTGTGTTGTGTCGTGTTGTTTACTTATAGTAATGGAAGGCTGAGTTCCTTATCCTGTCAAACTGCCCCTGGTTTGTTTCATGGTCGTGAATGGCGAGTGCTGGTGGATCATTGAGCGTAAGGTATTGCTAACTATACGAGCAAGGCCAGGTCTGTGAATGGGCTATGTGATCCCAAGATGAAGCGAGACGACGGCCCATGAATCCAGAAGCTCTGGTCTGTCAGTCTGTCAGTCTGTGTCTCATGGCGGCTGTCTTAACTCGTTTGACCTCAATTAATAGAGAGAGGCTTGTCAGTGTGTAAAGAAGTTGGCACGAGAATGGTACCTTTATCCGATAGTCCTGAACGCGTTGAGGAAGGGATGAAAAGAAGAAACATAAGAGTTCGTTCCTCAATAGCACTCGCTAGAGGTAGTCGTTATCGGCTATACCGTTGACACGACTAGGTAGGAACATCAGATAACAGAACCATGGGAACCGCGTGATAGATTTTGTACGCGTGCTTATTCAGTCTGAACTCAACGAGACGAGGCTATTGTGAAGTTCTGACAATAGCACGAAAGCATGTCGATTACTCCTCCGACAAGTTCACAAGAAAGCTATAAAGCACCCTCTCAAGAACCCTCAACTTTGTCGCTCTCTTCCAAGAACACTTTTTGACCCAAAAAACCAAGAACCGAGCAAAGAAAGCGCACCTAGACTTTCACTCAAAGAAACACAACACAAGCAACAAGCTCTGCACTCACAAAACAACAAGATGTGCACCAAAAAGCAATACCTCTTCGTGGTCTGCGGCCACACCGAATGGTGCGAGTCTCAGTGCCAGACCAAGTTGAAGCGCACCTTGATGAACCCCAAGGACGAAAAATACCCGCCGCCTTGCATCCCTGTCACGGAGGTGACCGACCCCATCAGGCTGGTGGGCAAATGCAGCACTTGCCGCCCCAGAACTCGCAGTGCCCGCAGTGCTTTCGGCACTACCAGTGCTACCAGTGCTTCCGGTGCTTGAAGAACGAGAGGAAGCCCCAGGAGAGGGTCCAGATGTGGCACAGTCTGGTACCTAAGGAATGATGGGGGATAAGAGGTAAATGCTTCTTGAGGACTGGTAAAGTAGAGTTTTCCTAACATTGTGACAGAAAGGGATGCCGAGGGAAGTTTAGAAGTAGGTTGCCGGCTAAGGCTGTGGTGGAAGAAGCTGACATGGACTTGGTAGGGAACACGATGCAAAGACGACGACATGGACAAGGAATGCGATGGATGAACAACATACCCGTAGATGTACTTCCAACAACAACTAAATCTTGCTCTAAGCCTTCCTCCTCTTGGCAGAAGGTTCATCCTTCTCCTGACCCTTCTCCTTGATCAACTCCTTTTCCTGCTTCTTGACCCACGCCACAGCCTCCCTAATAATCCTCTTCTCGCCCGCCCTAACCCACACAGCCATCTCCTTCCTCGTCGTCGGCCTCCCGCCCTCAATCCCCGCAAGAACCTTCTCATCCTCCTCCAAACTCGTAGCATACTGCCCCTCCCTCTCCTCCAACGCCTTCCTCACGCCACCCAACAAGATCTCCTTCCTCACAGTCTTATTCCCCAACGCCTCCGCCACCGCCCTATCCCCCGTCCCGACCACCTTCTTCACAGCCTTCAGGTACGTCTTGACCTGCTCCTCCAACTCCTCCGGCAATCCCATAAACTCCGCTTCACCGTGGACTTGCCCCTCCGAATCCGGATCCTCGCTCTGTCGTTCCAACACAAAACTATCCTCCCACTCTCCCTCCTCCTCCTTCTGCTCCTCAACCAACTCCTCGACCTTTGCCCAATCCACCTCCTTCTTCCTCCCCTTTATTCCCTCCACCATCTTCTTCAAGCCCCCTTCCACCAACCCCCACCCCACCTCCACCACATCATACCGCGCATGATTCGGCGTGACATAGCCATACCTTCTCAACAGCTCCGCACTGCTCAACGGCCCATAATAATTAAGAATCTCCTCCCCTTCTTTGATCTCCCTCAGCGACGTAGCTGTCAGGCACGCCTCTCCATGATTAATATGCGCATTAAACACCGCATCGGCATTGAGCATATCCGCCATGGGCACCATCCCCATCGTATCATTCATTCCCCCGATTTTATCCTCGACCCACCCATCTTCTTCCTCTTCTTCATCTTCGTCGTCATCCTCCTCCTTAGCCAAATCAAAAGCATACGCCATGATCGCCGACCCCATCCTATGTCCCAGCTTCAACAATTCCCCCTCATCCAACCTTTGTGTCTTTGGTGTTCCCGCAGGGTAGAAAACGTCTTCATTCTCTTGCACCACCTTGACGATTTTCGTGCGAATCATCTTATCCGCCTCGTCCTTGCCTACTTTGGCTACTAGCGCACTAGCTTGCAACTCGGCCAGTTCCGCCTCAGTCCAAAACATGGGCGTGTCGAACTGGTGCGGGAGAATAGACAAGTAAGGGGACCAATTTGAAGAAGAACCCTGGAGGTACTCGTGCATGAGAATCAGGATGAGTAAAGTCCAGGAGTCCTGGGACTGGGAGTCTTCCGCGTCGTCGTCGTCATTTTCGGGGGAGGGCGGCTCGTCGTCGGCGTCGGCGGTGTGGGAGGGGGATTCCTCGGCGACGGTGGGTTCGGCGGGTCCTTTGAAGAGGTGCGGGAGCTTTTTGGCGAGGGGGGAGGTGGTGGCGCAGAGGATGGAGGCGCGGGGGATGGTGAAGAGGGTTGTGTCGGCGGGGATGGGGGCGGTTGCGACTGGGAGGAGGGTGTTAGTGATTGTTTGATAGTGTAGATAGTAGAGGGGTGTGAGGATAAGGTGGTGAAAGTCGTGAGCTTTAAGTTGAGAAGGAGTGGATTGACATGAGAGGTGAAGGACACTTGGCGATATTTCGCGACTGGGTTGAGTTGGAAAGGAGAAAAACTCACTAATACCACGGCCGGCGCTCTTGTCTCTCAGATCAACAAGCTTGATGTCCTTGTGAAAGGTGGCGCCGGGTTGGCTTGTGAACCATTCAAGGAACTTTTGAGTTTGCTGCTCAAAGTCACCGGCGGGTACGGTATCCGTGGTGGTGGCCATGGCGGGCAACGGTAGTTGAATGAGCGAGATAATTGTTTGAGTCCAAAGGAATGACCAGTGATGTTCCGACAAAGAATCTTTGCCAGGGTAGGTGAGAGGTTGGAAAGTGGTGATTTCAGAATTCACCGTTCTGAGATGGTGAAATTTCCAAAAGGCCGAGATAACTCCAGCGATCTTCCGACTTGTTAGTGGACTTCTCAAGGGTGGCTCGTGCACATCTGACAAATAATGAGGGTTAGGGTTTCACTCGCTCCTCGACCGCCACGGTTAAAGATGCGCTTGACGCAGATAAACAAAGAAAAGGGGGTAAGACCATTCACTGGCTCTAAAAAAATGGACATAAAGCAAATACAACGTGTCATTTGCTTCATTGTGCCTTGTAGGTTGGTCCCCAAGTTGACAGTTAGTCCTTGCCTTATGGTGTTTCTCTTCGACTCTTGTGCGTGGTGCTTTCCCCTAACTCAAATCGGTTGTGCCCGCCTCAGGGAAGGTTGGAAAATGCTCTTGAAAGTCTGTTGCTAGCCGCCAATGTATACGATACCGCGCTTTTCCACCATCAGATACCGACATGTGTTGCCTTTAAGATAGGAGAGTGCGGCGCGGGGTTGAGTACCAGTGAGCAAGAACGTGTGTGAGGAACGCCAGAAAGTCCTGAAAGTGGTCGAGCTGCTCCGAGTGTGAAGATGGTCGATGGTTGTTGAAAGGGGGTGGAGAGTTGCTGACAATCGGGTCCTTTGAAGGTTGGCAAGTTACCGCTGGTAATGCGATACGTTATGGTCTGTCGGCTGTTGAATTCAAGCGAGTGAGATGTTTCTCTGCCGGCTCCTTCGTGGTCCGATGTCACGTCGTTTGCCTTCTCTGCTGTTAGCTCCACGGTTAGTCCATCACATGCAACACACTTCAGCACCCCCCGATGCTCAAGATGCAATGTCGCAGTCCTCAAGAACTTGATCGAACCGTCTTGCATGCAAACAATAATCATTCTGGACTCCGGCCCGCAGGTATGAAATGGGTATGCGGGATTATGCCAGCCTCTATGCCCATCGATATAGTACAGGGGTGTATACAATAAAGGGATGCTTCTTCTCTTTCTTCACTTTCTGTTTTCTCTCTTCTTCGCGCTCCTCACGCTCCGAGCCTCTTGAGGATCTTCTCTCTGACGATGCGCTGAGCGACAGCGGCACCCTTTTCTAACGAGATGGCGCCAATGATGGCGAAGAGGGTGGAGTTGAGGACGACGACGACACCGGAGGATTCGAGATCTTCGGGCTAAAGAATTACACAAGGTTTCGTGTTAGCAAGTAGCAAGCTCTGGGATGAAGACATGAGGGTGTTACCATTCTGGGCTTCCACCGCATGACGGTGAGCAAGCCAAAGTCGATGCCCATCCGTGCGATCTTGGTCTTGTCCATAATGTCTAGCGGTTGCGTGTAGATGAGCTTGTCGATGTTGGCCAGGGCGGCGTGGTTGTAGGGCGTGCGGCCGTACTTGTCGACGATGGGCTCGTTAAGGACGGGGCTGGTGAGAATAGAGCGGGTCGTCTCGAGGGCGATTATTTGACGGCCTGACAGAAATTTGTTAGCCGTGGTCTGTATTGTTGTTTCCGTCGCGAGATATCCGTCTCCCCAAATATTTCCTCTTGCGACTGAGACCACTGCCAGAACGTACCGAGGAAAGCCAGCCTTGTGTTGTAACCTCTCCTTCCGTAGTCGAAACTCTTGTGGGTGACGGCCAGCCACTTGGTCTCCTCTGATAGCATCCTGCTGCCGCCCTGGCCAAGGAAGGCGTCGTAAAAGGCATCCAACTTTGCCGGGTCGCTGTTGACCATCCACTGCTTGCGCCTGGGGTCCTTGACGAGGTTGAGGGAGAAACCGGGGCCCTTCATGCGCTCGGGGGTGTAGGACCACCTTGGCCTGGGCTGCTGCGAGCTGCTGCTGCCGGAAGCATCTTGTTCTTGTTGGACAGCCGACGACGACGAGACCTGGCGGGCGACGGGGACGGCAGCGAGTTGTTGGACAGCGACAGGTCGCCTAGAGCATTGCTGGGCAACAGTCTTGCACGTCGAGGCGAAGACGGAACGGGAGGGTGTGAGGGCGGCCATTGTGGTCTATTTTTTTCTTTTATTTTGGATGCGACTGGAGATGCGACCACCCGAGGCGAGACCGTGGAGATACTACTACGAGGTTGAAGGTATGGATGGAGATGTGGATGGATGTGACGGGGTCGTGGGGTAGAAAGAGGTCGAGGTCGGATGGGCGCCCGTTTCCACACTGGCTCGCAAAACACCACCACCAAAGATTCCGGAGTCCTTCAAGGAAAGATGTCGCGCGGCTGACTTATCGGCTCGGCGCGGTCGGTGCACAGGCTGAGTGGTTCGACGGGTCGCTGTGCGGAAAGTCCAAAGTCCCAAGGCAAGGCTCCGGGTCCGTTCGCGTGCCTGGAGTGGGACGGCAAGACGGGAATTTTTTGCGACCGATCGAGGGACGGGACTGGACTGGATGGACCCCTCGGCAGGCTTCGATACGGGCGGGCCTAGCTCGGGTGGTCTGTGCGTTGACGGATGGTCACTTCACAAGTACTTGGGTTCTCCAGACTTGGACTTTGGCTGTCGACTCGACCATTGGGCAATTCTCCAGGCTCAGTAAAGTGCGGGGCCTCAGTTCTCCCAAGAGCTAGCCGCCTAAGGTTAGCTTGACCTTCCTTCTTCCCTCCCGTTCCGTCCTGTTGCTCAAAAAGGTACATCGATCAGGTACCTTTGAGAAGAACTGCAAAGAGCAGGGGAAGCTCAGGTCCGCAAACCAATCGATTTACACGGCGCGGGCAGCCCTGTCGCGTCCAGGGCACCTCCACTGTTGGTTCAGTGCCTGGGGCTGTTAGTGCTTTCTTGTCGCGTCCCTTGCAGTTGGACTTCCTTTCATCTCTTCCCTTCTTCTTCCCCAGCACTGCTTTTCGTCAAACAAAAGGCTACCTACTCTTCCCCAAGGCACTCCATGCTCATCCATACCTACCTAGTCACCATGTGCTCTGGTCTGTGACCTCACTGACCATCTCAGCACCCGCAATTCCACCGTCTCCAAACGCGATCGCGACTCTTCCTCGGCCAAGATGAGCTCCTCCTCCAACCAGGTGAATGCTGGTGGCAGCACCACAAACGAACTGTTGGAGAAGCTTGCTTCTGTGCTGCCAAAGGACCTCAAGTTCTCGATCCACCACCTATCGACACCACCCACCCGCACCGATGCTCTCTTCGTACCTCCTCCGGGAGAGAAAGCCGACAAGACTTATTGCGAAAAGCACTTCCTCGCCCTTTCGATCGAAGCCCCCGTTACTGGTGCTGTCAAGCGGTCTTCCCCTGGCGCTGACGAGGCAAAATCGACCGAGACGGCAACAAAACAAGTTATCGCCTTCGCCATCGAGGTGTTCATCTTTACCACAGCCTTCCAGACAGTCCTGTTCGTCTCCAAGGCCGACTCGACCGGTTATCTCCATCTTCTCAAACTACCGAGAGGAGGTCCTTCTCCCATTAGCGAAGTCAGCTCGACCCTTGTATCCTACCTCATCCAACATCGCCGGCGAAAGAACATTGTCTCTGTCGTCAACCTCTTCGGCCGTGCGCAGAGCCAGTACCTCTTCCCAGGTAGTGGTGAAAACGACGGAATCGGGCCAGGCAGGGAGAAGCACATTCTTAGCGATAGGGGTCTCATCAAGTGGTGGTGTCGTGTTCTCAACCCGCTTCTGGAAGATCAGCGCAAGGATGATCGGGTCGCGGCTACCAAGGGATACCTCCTTGTTCCTGGTCTGGAAGAGCGGGACATGCGCGCCTTTATTCCGCGGACCGTCACCAGCGCCAACGACTGGGAAATTGGCCATCCCATGGAGAGGATATCCCACTATACCCAGAAATTCGACTGGGTACCACCTAGGTGTCTGATACCGCGATACCCAGACGACCCAAAGTCGCGTTACAGGGATGAGCTTGACGAGGAGTCTGCAAAGTGGAAGCAGGATATGGGGGCTTGGAAGAGCATTAGGACATTGAACCAGTTCTGGGATACCATGGCCTTCAGACAGGAATGCTCATCCGGGCGATTGACAGGGTTCATTTGGCTGGTCTTTGATCCCAAGAAGTCGGAAACAGAAGAGCAGGCGACACAAGCCACGACGGCTTCGTTCGCAACGTCGTTTGCATCCGCGCCACTCATGACCCCAACCGGCTCTTTCGATGCTTCCACCGCCTTCCCTCCTTCCACTCCACCAAAGCGTCGTGCTGATGTGCCGGCCCGTACGCCACAAGCCAGCCCACTCAAGGCCTCTTTCACAGCTGGAGAGATTACGAATTCTCAGCCAGACATGGCCAAGGAGACCAGCAAGACAGAGAAGGAGAAGAAAAAGAAGCTAAAAGGTCGCATCACGCCTCGTGTTCCCAAAGTCAAGAAACACCAACGGAATTACCTCTTCAAGCGACCAAACACCACGGCCTACTACCATTGGCCGACCGAGGGCCGTGGCGACCTAATCGTGGACGAGCATGACTACAAGCGCGTGGTGGAGCTGCTGCTGCAGCTTGATTTTGAGACGCTGGGCAAGGCTTGTAGTGCCACCAAGCGATGGATCAGCGAGGCTGGCATGGGTGCCAAATGGGGACATGAGGTTGTTGGGAGGCGGGTCCAGACCGTGACAAGTGCCACTGCTGACCGGGGAAGCGCAGCTCCAGTCAACAATCTGACGGGGTTGGTGAGGAAGAAGAAGCCGGCTGCTATTGAGAGTGGCGCGGCGGACGTAAAGACGAATGGGTTAGAGGACCCCTCTACCGAGAATGGGACACCAGCAACACCAAGTGAAGCTGTCAAGCCACTGGTGCTTGAAGCGCCCAAGGTAAATGTTCTGGGAGCTGGACTGATTAGGAAGAAGCCCAAAACGTCAGCTTAGGTCCTCATGACTACTCTTTTCTTTCTTAGTCTCTATGATACCTATTTGTATTTGTTTCGTTGGCATGATACCTTTTCGGAGACAGCGGGATGGCGGAAATGGGGATGGGGTCAAATGGATGGGTGTACATAACAAGCGGACCGTGGTTTCGTGACGTGTGGATGGGTCTTGAATATTGAAATGAATTGACCGTTGGCTATGATTTAAAGTTCCTACATACTGAAAGCGAGTGCCTGACACTGTTTGCGTTTCTATTAACCTATCAACCTATCAACCTAGTACCCCTTCCGAACCCCGGCCCTTCCTCCTACCAACCTATTCACAGTCACACACCCATCACTCAACGCCTCTCGCCACGCCCTTCGCCAACCCTACTTGCATCCTCATCCCATCCGCCGCCCTCGCCGTCACCTGACTCCTCGTACGCAGCTTCGGCTTCACCATACAACCCGCCGTCCTATCCATGACCAGTCCTTCTTCTCTAGCAATCAGGCCCATCTTGAATCTTTAACATCACCTTCTCCCACAACACAACCTTAATAAACTCATACCTTCTGTACACCAAAGCCACAACAACGAGTTCGTAGATTCAGGTGAAGTTGAAGAGTTGGCCTTTTTCTTCTCTTTGTTCCCTCTTCATCCCCCTCAGCCCCTCTTCCTCTTCCTCTTCATCATCCTCTCTCCCCCAATCCCCCAAACCAACAACATCCTCACCTACACTCCGCTCAGCCAAAAGCTCCCTCTTGCGCCCCAACATCCACCCACCTCTATTACCATCACCTCGTATGTATACAGAACCACCTCAAAAGTCGGATAGGTCCCACCCCTCCTTTGATACATACGGTTTTAGACGTCAAAAGCGAGGGACGATGTTCATTTCGACTTGTTTTTGCCTTGTCCTTGGGTGTCCAAAGCTGTTCTTATTAGGTACCTACCTATCCATGCTCTTGAGCTTAGTTCCAAGCTACTCCAGGCGGGAGCTGCCATATTATCGGTGCCACCCTGATTCCAGTTTAGGTATCGACGGGTAACGGCGGCGGTTCGGTTACACTACCTCTACAAGTAAGTACACCATGTAGCGAACACAATCCATCCCATAGTTCACATGATTTAGGCGAGTGCAGCGGCTCGGGTACCTAGGTAGTCAGTCCTCGGACCGTTCCTTTCGGCTGTCACTGTGATGACCCTCGAGAAAAAGTGACCTGTAATTTGGGGGATTTGGGGGTTTTGAGCTGGGTGCCCGATGTTTGGGCTCTTGTGTATGTCTGTCGGTAGAGGTAGTTAAATGGGGGAAGTTGACCCTAACCCTATTTGTTTCGTTGGGTGAGGGGGACCTATTGGGGGAAGGTGGGAGACAACGATGTCGCTGTCGTTCTTTTTTGGGGTTCTTAGTTCAACTTCATCCAAGAAAGGATTCCCTCTTTTTACCGTGGGCCATTTACCTTTTAATTTGTTTTGATAGTTCAAATCGACAAAAGTTGATTCATACAAGACAAACAATGTTCGCGCTGCTTACGGTGTTCGTGTCTTTCCACTCAGCATGTGATTATCTCCCTGGCTCTGTCATGCCATGATCCGACTTCCGATGCCAGACGCCCAGGGCGGGTGTCGGCGCCGATGCATCGGGCCGTGTCGTGTTTACATGGCCCCCCTCACAAGAACTTATTCACCCTTTTCATTTATTCATTCATCTTCATCATGATCATCATCATTATTGTTCTTGGCCGTCTTTTTCCTTCCATCTGTTGATGTTTGTCCTTCCCTTGGTCAATCCCAGACAGTGACATACGGTGCTGTGCGGGGAAATGCAATTCAACACTGGAGTTCACTAGGGACCACCAAGAAAACACCGGACCACTCAGTGACGAGAACCCCACCGCATATCAGGGTCTTGTGTGAAGCGGTCCCCTGGAAAGAGCGTGATAGACCCTGCACCTCCCTGCGCTTTTGGCGGCAACAGCAGCGGCGCGTGGCACTGGATGTGGTCCAGTGGATTCCCCAAAACAAAAACAATTGTCGCTGTGGTGTGGAAGTGACAGGTCTTTAATTGACCAATGTGTGTGGCCTGACAAGGCGAATGGAGCAACCCTCTCATTGACTTGAGAAAGAACCCCAATCTCAAACGGCCAGTCCAGCCCACGACAGCACACCGCCAGATCCACAATGTGGATGGATCCCAACCTAAACCACTTGTCCTCAACAAGGCCACCATCCATCCACGCCCACGGTCCAAGGCTACCTATTGTTTATCTGATTGTTTGTTGTTGGAGACGGCTTTCCTGTCCAGTTGGAGTCCAAACCGCCAACATTCCTCATGTCGGACATCATTTGTTAGGGCGGCGAATCACTTGTCTTGTGGTACTTGTCTCAATCTTTACCCCTTTTTCCCCTCCCGGCGCCCGGTTCCCCTCAATATTGGGATCCGGCCGATGCGGGGCACACTTGACACACGGCACACACAAGTCATTGAGAACCCGCCGACCCGGAAACGGTCCCGGTCCTGGACCCGGGCCTAATAACAAATGGCGGTGCTTCCACTGCCCGATCTCGGGACATGGCTGTTCCGTCGCGGTGACGCGGACCGCAAACGGGTCGCCGCCGAGAACCCCGTCACAATTGTCAAGCAGCTCGACGGCCACATCAAGACACTCAAACAAGCGAACCTGCCTCACTCACTCAAGGATTCCGAGAAGGACGCCCTGGTTGGCGCCATGCTGCTCATGGGCAAGAGCCTCCAAGACGCCCTCAACATGTTCATGGCCGAGGTCTTGCCGCATGACGAGTACCCCAAGGGATGGAACGAGGTGCTCTCGGGCACCCTCGGCGGCCTGCAGAGGGCCCTGGCCGACACACTCGTCACCCTGGAACGCCCTCATGCTGCCGAGGCCGGTCTCAGTATGAAGCAGCACCAGGAGTCGTTGAAGACCAGGACCCTCAGTCTGGAACTGGATGAGACACTGCCACAGGTAGTCAAACCCGGACTCAACAGATCGGAATCAGCACCAGCCGGCACCACCACCACCACCACAACAACAGCAACACAAGGAGAAGGGGAAATCTCACCCGACTTCCCGCCCCTCGGCCCTCCCTTGCCTCTCCGCCTCGCCCCCGTCCCCGAACGCTTCGAGCCCGCCTATGAATACCGCGACCTGGCCGCCGAGAACCCAGGCGTTAGCATGGCCGTCATCCAGGAACTACGTGCCGAAATGCGCGTCAACGCCGCCATTCAGCTCGCCATTGAATCACTCGAGTTCACCGAGGGCCAACTGCAGCTGATAAAGCAAGTGGACCGAGCCGCTGGCGGAGCCGACTTTGAGCCTGTCCAGCAGCACTTTTACGAAGGGTACGATCGCATCCTTCGCCGGGCCGTTGAGCTTGAGCGCCGTCATGCGAGCAGCGAGGTGCCTGTCCCTGTGTCGCAGCCACCACCCCGTGGTGACAACCAGAACCATCAGAACCGGCCTCAGACCAGCCACACGCAAAATTCGGCCCAGCTTAGTCCCACCTCTTGGAGGCCGCGCCCGCCGAGGAGGATAAGTCTCGTTACTATCCCACCTCCCCATGAAGCAGAGGCTCATTCTCGTGGTGGTGGTGGTCAGAGACAGAGTAGCTATAACCAGCAAAAGCGGCCGGGGACGGCGCCAAATGGTGGTATGATGCACAGGAAGCGGAGCATCATGTTTAACGATGATGGGGACTTTTCCGATTACGCGTCGACGCTGGGCAATTCGCGGTCATATTCGAATCTGAGGTCGAGCCAGGGGTCGCATGGATCAAGAGGTTCGATGGAGGCCATGACTATGAGTCCGACCGGCCAGGCGTTTGATCAAAGGGCGAGAGCGAATGTGCGGAGGAGTACGGTGCATGGGATGGTGGGGATGGGGATCAGGGAGGAGGGTATGTCTCATTACTTTCGACATGATTTGTTTAAGTGGTTTAAGTTTAAAGGTGTACTGATATGAACGGACAAACAGATGAACGACCACAACATTCCCGAGGTCTCTCACAGTCCCAACAGCTTGACCCACCCACCCTCCGCCGCCGCCTCTCTTTAGCCGATGAACTCGCCATGGCCAGCAACACCGACAGTGACTCCTCCAACTACGGCGACGACGACAACGACGACTACTACCAGGAAGACGGCGACGGAGGTGGCGGCGGTGAAGAAGAAGACGAAGAGTTCGGCGAGTTCGGCGAAGTAGGCGAAGCAAGCGTCATCCAATCCGAACTCGGCAGCGGAAGTGATCGGGGCCTAGCCAGTCCTCGGACCCCTGGATCAGCAGTAGGACCAGGTCCAGGTGGCTTTGTACGTGGCATGGTACACGGTGGGCTTATGGCGGCGGCGGCGGGGGGGAACAACAATATGATGAACTTGAACGACTCGATACACTCGCGTGGCTCGTCACTCGATTCGATCCCCATGAGCGAAGGGTTGGTGGGACAAATACCGCCGAGTGAATACGGGAGTCAGTTTGACGAGGGGAGCACGTACGGTGGTGGTCGGGGTTACGGAGGAGGGTACGGAGGAGGGTACGGGGCCACACACAGCAGACAGGTATCGAGCGTGAATATCGACGATAGGATATCGTATGTGCCTTCTACATGGGGGAATGTCTCTGCTGTGGAAGAAGGAATGGAAGAAGAAGAAGAAGAAGGACAACAACGACTACAACAATATGAACAAGAAGGGGAGGAAGAAAATGAAGAACTAAGAAGCCTAGGAGGTCGGCGTCTATCGGGATACTTCCCCGGTGCGGGCCGGTACGACGGGGAGTACGATGACGATAGGGACTACGGCGATGAGGAAGAGCATGATGACATGGATGAACAAGAAGAAGAAGAAGGGCATAGTAGGTACGCGGACGAAGATGCAGGAATGGATGGGGGAGGAGATGATCATGACCGCAGTGGTGAAGCGTCGGCGGATGAGAACGAGGAGTTGACGGAGATTATCGAGCAGTTGAGGCCGTACATGATGCTGGGTGGTGCAGCGAGCAGCAATACGGGGAGGGTCTCTGCGTGAAATTACATCTACATCTGGCTGCAATGAGCATCATTCAGGCACGGAGAGGAGCAAGCGTGCATGACATGGACAGTAGCATGCCCGGCTGCATTGAAATCAACAGCCGACTTCTCCGTTTAGCCTGAATCAACAAAATCAAGAAGTGGTGGAGTGGTGGACGATGAAAAAAAAACGACAAAACCTGCAGACCTGCGTACAACCAAGGACTTGGACTTGGAATCAAGAAGGGATTTTTCTTTTGTTTAAAAGGTCCGTAGTTAACCCCCCAACCTACAACTTTAGCATATTACAAACATAGGTACAGGTAGTACAGTAATGTGTACGGATAGCATACCTACCTCTACTATAGGTAGTATATTGGGTACCTAGGTTGACAGGTAACACGGGATAGGTAGCGGCGTGGCGTGGGCCTACATGTTAAGTCTACCTAGGTACACTATCCTAGAAACGTGGATGATCAAAGTACGTTACTTCTATTGTTGCAAAAACACATCTGCGTATATTTCATGGGCAGTGAGTTAGTGTAGTGTATGGTTGACGGAGACGTGTTTTGGAAGTACCTCTAGGTAGGAGAGAAGTAGAGGAGGACCATCTATGTCTAGGGGAGCACGACTTATCCTCTACCTCCAGTAGCTGGGGGCCCTTAAAAAATGCAATCATGTCATGTTATGTCATCAGATATAGACTTATACCTGTACCTCAGTATTATTGTTCACGCCGAATTTCTACTCGTAGAGATATTCATCCTCCTCACATTCACTCAATCACGATCTTGTGCTATATGTTGCCATCTCGAATTAGCTAGGTAGGTAGGAAT